GACTCTGACTTCTGTGTACTCAGAATCCCACTCTTTTATTGTCCGCTAGGCATACTTCAAAATCATAGACAATTACTCATGAAAATATTTATTTTTTGATATATCTCTCACATTTCTCATTCTCTCAGCCTCTCCCTTTCCCCATCAAGGTGAATGTAAGCATTATGCCTGTTAAGACTGCATGGCACAAACCTGTTCATCTGTAGGAAATTAAATAGGGATCAAAGCCAAGTCAGCCTGCCTGTCTTTGTCCCTTTTTATCCCCATCTCGTTTTTTTTATTGTATTTTATTTTATTTTCTATTAGAATAGTCATTAATCTTCCTCATGGATGCACCACACTGACATTCGAGGTCTTGACTTCCATAGCATTGCCGAAGTCGATTCTTCTCCCTGAGTTTTAACCCACCCTTCACAGCCTCACCAGTTTGTTACACAGTTTTTGATGAGAAGGCCAGGGAGAGTGAGGTCATGCGAAGCGGAGATGAGAGGGAAACAAGAAGAAGGGGAGATGCAGAAACTCCCACAAGGAACTCCAGATCCCACTGAAAAGGTCAATGTGTATTTGAATCATCTGCACTGCTCCATGACACAGATATACACTCAGCCCCAATGTAGAGATACTTGATAAAGAGGGTAATGGAGTGGAAAGATTGTTGCAAGAATGAAATAGGCCCCTCTTTTCCTGGCCTCCCATGATGCACCATTTTGTTGCCATGGTGATTTGAAAAGGGATTTTTGTTGTTGCCGCCGCCGCTGTTGTTGCTGCTTTGGAGGGCCCTCTCTATTCCTGCTAACCTTGACCTTTTGCGGGGGTTTTTATGTGAGATAAGGAATTCCATTTCTTCTTATCTGGTCATGGCTGACTGCCTGGCTGGCATTGATGAAGGCAAGAGGTGTACCAAGGGCTGTCTCAGTGTACAGATGCCAAATGGATAAGCAAAAGAAAATAAAGTAAGGGTGGTTAATTAAGGGCGATACTGCAAAGAACATGTTTCTTGGGTGCTTTTTTGCTGAATAATGAATTCTGTATGCTTCAGAAAAAGAAGAAATTATTAAATATATATGAGAGCAGGAAATGAAGGTCAGGGTGGTATGACTGGAAATGTGTCTGCGATCAACCACAAAGATGCCTTGGGGACCAACTGATAGGGTATCCAGGTTCAATTAAAAAGAAGCACGTGTTGCCATGGCCACAGGTTATGTTCAATAAGTCACACAAGCCACTTCCTGCTTGCCTTCCCAAATGAAGAGCGGTTCACGAATGGGAAACAACTAATGGTTTAGAATAAATTTAGGCAGGTTGAATGTTTCAGTGACACTGAATGTTGGAGTTAACCAGCCAAACCTTATAGAGTGGTCACTGATCCATCCAGGATAACAAAAGACAAGAATCAACCCCTCAAACTGACCTTTTCATCCTTGGACCTACTTATTTCAGACATGACCTTTGTTCTTGAGACAGTTGTCCTTCTGGGAAATCTTTTGAGCACTACTAAGAAGCTGCCAAGCCATTTTTTACTACACATCCGAGGTATAAGCTTCTGGGTTTTGTTTAACTTTTAAAAGGAGCAGATGAGCAAGTCCACAGGGACATCACAAAACTTATGCGTATTTGACAAACAGGCTAAGCTTGATTGTAACAGCAAAACGAAAATCACATATCCACTGAAAGTGACACCCACCCACACACCTCAGTGAAAGGAACAAGATGTTGTACTTCTCAACAGAATAAAATTACATTTGATAGTGAATGAGAAAGCCTTGCTGGATTCAGACAGCTGTGCACTTCAGAGTGACTTTCTATTTATAAGGAAGACCACGCAGCTCGGTGTCCTAACAGCAGTTTCTGTTAGTGATAGAAGAAGTGCGTTTAACAACAGCAGTTAACAACTAGTATGTGTTTGTGGGGGACATTAACTCACAAAAAACGAATAAACAAATATAGATGTTGGGTGGTACTATCACTTCTCGTACCATGGTGGTTGCGCCACCAACTCTGCCCCTGCTTCTTGTAAAATGCCCCGTGGTAAAATGATTCTAAATTATTTGTATAGAAACACAAAGATGACTTGCTAAAGCCGTGTGGTCTGGGCTTGGAATGATAAGCCCAGACAATCCTTTCTGGTTGGATTCTCATGGTGGAAAAGAAAGGACAAAGGCATTTGTGTAATCTCACTGTATACAAGTTGTACAAGTGACAATAAAGTATTTCAATTTGGTAACTCTTCCTCCCAAGGTGAGGGGGTGTGACCTAGTTAAGTTTGGCAGGACTGCTTAGTCTATGGTCTTAACCCCTTTGTGCATTAACTGGAGCCAAGCATGCTGGTTATATGAGGCCAATATTTATCCCACAGTTTAAAAGTATCATCAAAACAGCAAGCCAATTTCATAATGAGTTTAGTAGCAGCAATATTCATCCCCATCCCGTTTGAAACAGCTGTTTGGAAGACTTGCAGTAGCTCATGTTCTGTTGAATATGTGAAAGCAGCCCAACACCTGTCAATACTACAGCAGTACAGAACTGGCAACAGTTAGAAGCAAAATGAAGGGAGATGTCACAGAAATTTGCAAGGTTACACTCCTCCTCCTCCTTCTTCTTCCTCTCCTCCTCCTCCTCTCCCCCCACCATATACTACTACTAGTACTAATAATAATAATTTATTTGTACCCCACCCATCTAACTGGGTTGCCCCAGCCACTCTGGGAGGCTTCCAGTATATATAAAAACTTAGTAAAACAAACCAGTTTGCAAACATAGCACAAACTGATGACATTTTGTCAGCTGTTCTCTCCCCTTCCCTTTGCAGATTTTCAATCAACCCTGTTCATCTTGGGGGTTTGGGGTGGACATCTATTAAATCCATGCCCGCTCACAGTGTTCTAATAAAACATCTCTTTGGGCAGAAGGGAACAATCCATTTCTCCTGGGTTAAAATAATGCAGAAGAGAACAGGAGGAGAGATCGCACTGAGAGCCACCCAACAAAATGCACTCACCATAAACACTAAAGGATGAAGCCCCACCCTTTCAGCATCCTGCTGTTGTCAGATGGATGTAATATAAATAATGTTCTGAAACAAGAGCTATGATGGCCCAAGCCTTGAGGATGCCAGCTGGATATGAGGGCTTCAGCCCAAACCCCTGCAGTCTATTGCTGAATCTTGAAGCAGGAGTTAGAATCTATGGATTGCATTGGGGCCCAGTTTAGATAAGGCCTTTCTGATCTGCCTTCAGCAGCATAGGCAACAGTGGTCTTTAAACTCCACACAGCTTCTTAAATTGCTTTTGTGCACATCTTGGCCCAAGGCTCCCTGGAGTTCTTGCTTACTTGCAGAAATGCTCCTGACCCATCAGTCACTGGCAACTTGCTACATTTCATCTTCAAGTGTGAAAGGAAAAACAGTCATAAAAGATTTATTGAAACAAATATCTTTTTCAGGGGAGAGTGTGGTTTCATATGATCGCCTTTTCATTTTGTCTCTCTCTCTCTCTCTCTTTCTCCTGAGCTTACAATTTGAACAATTGCCCAGGCTTGTTTGCCCATTCCCAGCCTGCCAAACCATTTTCAATAATAAGATCCATCTCTTCCTCCTCAAGGCTACATTGTCTTCACATCCTCTGAGATTGGATGCCTCGACTCCCTTTTATCACTTGAGCCACATGCGTTTTGATTGTAAACATCATGATAACACTCTTGTTAACCCCTCAGAAGTGAAATAACGCTAGATAACATTTTGAGTAGTGATACTCACACCACCGTCCCGCACTGAGATTACAAGGAGCAGGCAACCTACGGACCTGTTCTTGATAAGGATCTCACTACTGTTGAGACACAAAAGATGAAACTTCTGAAATAATAGCCTTGTCCATGTTACCTTGCTCATATTATGCAATATGGCAATGCTCTTTTAGCCAAAGTCACTATCTTCTTTTGAGAAATATTGAGAAATAATTGATGCCAGCAGTGAAGCTAGAGGGACTCTGTGTCTACTTTACAAAGGCTGGTCCTCTGTTTTCAGGGCTATTTGACTCAAGTCTGGTTCAAAGATAAATAATTGTCCATCAACAGACTTCCACTTGGACAAAAGACTGAACAGGCATACAGATCACCTGGTCTGTCTTATCCACTACTGAGAGATGTACTACATTTCTATTTAAATTAATCGTTTTTCAGTTTGCATATATACATATAAATTAGCCTAACCAAATATTGTGCAAATATGTGTTCTTTTTTCTATTTGGTGATGCATGTAGTACCTTAAACAAAACATTTCTATGGTTCGTTATGCTCAAGATTACAAGGATTGTGTCAGTAGCAGGCATGGGAGAGAAATTTGATTTGGCTCATACTTAAACCAGAATTGATCAATTTTGCACTTTCAGAAACAATGTGCGAACCCAAACACATCCAAAATTTGCACTGAATTTTTCAATGCAGTTCTCTAACCAACAAGTGCTTACAAAAGTGCTGCTAGGTTGGCAGGAGCTGGGACAAAGCAACAAGAGCTCAACCGGTTGTGTGGACTCGAATTGGGTCCTTTCCCTTTTACCTTACCTACAAAAGTATATACGTTAGGTAAAAGTGTGCCTAAGATGAGTATCTTAGTAAAAATAACATATAGAAAACCATTATATTAGGAAAAATTGCTCACAAAATTGTGCATGTTAGTCAAAATTGCTCACAAAATTGTCCGTGTTAGTCAAAATTGCATACAAAAATGTGCTTTTAGGGGGATGCACTAAAATACTGAATAATTTTCATGTGGATTTTTTTTTAAAAAAGAAAACTTGTAAATTGCTGCAGAAATTTAGAGAACCAAATTTAAGACCAGAAAAATGGAGAAAACTGAAATTGACAGATCCTTCTATCCCTAGTCAATAGTAAAATAGTTTTAACATATATTCTTCTTTCAAGGGGAACCGTGGGCAGATATAAATCTCTTCCACAGAGATGAGAAACCAGGTGTAAGGTGCCACTGATCATCTGATATATACATATACTGTACATATGCATATGCATATGCATATACATATACATATACATATACATATACATATACATTTAGTGAACAGCATGCCACAAGTTAGAAAAACTCCAGCAGATCCTGATGTGGGACCATCTTGCATGAAACATACCTGCAGTCTTACTCAGGTGCACTCCCTCTTGTATTAGAACCAGGACTAATGAAGCAAATGGCTCTTTGGCATGATGCATGTCCTTGCATTGGCCAAATGCTCTATTGACAGTGCTGTTGCATCTATTGTTGCATGGTGTGTGTTCCCCAGGCAGCAATGATTGTGAACTCCTGTTAAAGCGAAATGTTTTTGCTTGTACACACAGTATTAAATCTCTTGCTCATGTTATGCAAAAGAACTCACCTTGCCGTTTCCTACCCTAGGACGTGCTCGGTTTCCTTTAAGAGCCAGCACCATCAAGGCCAGAGCTGATTAAACACAGAAAATAAAATAACGTTTGGGTTAGTTGCTGCATGACAGAGGCATGGAAAAGGTTCACAAGAAGAAAGTAATAAAATGCAGTCACTTAGGTATAAGCTATGGAGTGACTCATTTTCAAATGCCATCCTGGAGGGCTTCCTGCCATGCCCCTGAGGACCTTGGTTAACCAAGTCATTTTGAATAGGATTTATTAACTACAGGGTGTTGATTGAACTGCTAAAAGCACTTCCCAAGGCATTTATAAAAGCCACAATGTGGCAAGCTGCTCTGGTTCTTGTAATCTTGATCACAGGGGACCCTAAGGTGATGGTTAAAGGACAAACTAGCCTGTGCAGTTTACTTATCCTACTGAAAAGCCCGGAATGACCATATTAACATTTTTAATAATGTTAATGATATCATGGTGTTTGTTTCCCCTCTTAAGACATTTACAAAAGCCACAATTGGAAAATTGCAGCAGTCCTTGTAATCTTGAGCACAAGGGATCTTTTTTTTTTTTAATGTTTTTATTAGCAATTTCATCATAACAAAATATCAAAACATATCATATTCATTATTTTCCCCCTTCCCCCATCAAACCCTTCCTCTCCCCCCGCCCAAGACTTCCTTCAGCTCCTCTCTATGATTTCTCAACACATATTATTCTCTGCATATTATAAAATTATACATACAAAATTATACATTATCTATCTACCATGTTATCAACCAATAAATTTGTGCATGTTTATTCAAAACCTGCCAAGGAGTCCAGTTCATTTTATTGTCTTTTTAGATAATTTGTAAAAAGCTCCCATTTTTCCTTAAAGTCACAGTTGTCCTTGTCCCACAATTTGTATGTCAATTTAGCCAGCTCTGTGTAGCTCATCAATTTTTCTTGCCACTGCTCTTTCGTTGGGATTTCCTCGTTCTTCCATCCTTGTGCTATCAAGACTCTTGCTGCTGTTGTAGCATACATAAATAAGTTCTTTGTTTTCCTTGGCAGGTCTTGTCCTACGAGCACAAGGGATCTTAAGGTGATGATTACTGGACATACTGCTCTGTACAGTTTACTTGCCATCCTGAAAATGCCTAGAAAGATTATCTTAATATATTAAATAATTTTAATAATATTGGGGTTCTTTCCTGTCAATAAGTATATTTCTGACCACAGAATTATAAGGAGTTGAGCCTGATGCTATACCCATTTATTCATAAGTAAATCCCACTGAGTTAAGTAAGAGATCTACCTACAGTAAGTGTGCAGAGGATTGCAGTTTTTAGATATCAGATTAGTAATAGGAACATTGGAAAATGCTTCAAACTGTGTTGGAGCATTACTTCATCTAGCTCAGTGTTATCTACACTGACTGATAGCACCTCTCCAGGGTTTCAGAAGGGAGATATTACCAGCCCTACCTAGAGAATGAACCTGGGACCTTCTGAATGCAAAGCAGATGTTCTACCACTGAGCTACAACCCTTCCCTCTTATTAGTATGATAGAGACAGTCATGACTGGAAGAAACCAGCCCATCTAATCTAATCACCTGCCCAATTGCAAGACCTTCCACCGATCAGCCACCTACACAATGTGTTAGGTGGGGGGACAGATTATTGGGTTGTTCTTGTTTTTATTTTTGCTATGTGTTTTGTGTTTTTACGTTGTGATTTTGTCTTGTGAACCAGCAGCCCTCTCTAACTGTTCTGTGCTGCAAGCCTCCCTAAAGGTAGCTCAGCAGCTTTGTGGGACCCTGCCCCCAAAAATCTTAATAACTTTGGGGGATCCTAAGGTCCACTGTCTGACTGCTGACTCAGGACTCTAAACTGTGTTTTCATAATCAACTTTTATTTTGATCCGTGTATATTGTAATGTTCTGTTGTCGCTATGGCCAATGGCTGAGGCGAATAAAGTTTCTCCTCTATTGTTCCTTTAAAAAGCTCAACAACTTCGGGGGACCCTTTGCAAAAAATTGAAATCTGTGGGGGTGACAAAAAAATGTCCACACCGGGTACCACCTGACCTTGCTATGCCTCTGCTCCCAATACAATGTGATTACTCTGACACAGAGATGCCAGGGCACTAAGCTGAGCTGCATTATTGTATAGTGCAGTACCTGCAGTGACCTAGGGTTAAAAACAGTAGATTAACCTTCATTTGGTTGCCAACTACAAAACATGAACTTCTATCCATCAGTTTTGGAATATGTTTCTTTTTCAGCTTCCAGTTGAATGCCGTTTGTTCTAGATAAACATCAGCACAACACAACTTTACTTTGAAGTGGCATCAGCAAGTGCAATAAGCACTATTTTTAAAAAAAAATGCAAGAGGTTAATTTCAAAATTGCATTTACATTCTATTCTCTATTATTTTCAAAGTCAAAAATACAAACATCTTGTCCATAATATAGAAACGATAGAATATTGTAAAAAAATTCAAAGTATCCAATTGAACTGATAAGGAATGATATATTTGATTCCAAAAATTAATAAAACTGTTCCATTCAGAAAGCAAACTTTGTCATAGCTGTCAATCTACCTTGTCTAATATGACAAATATCAGTTAATTTAATCATCAGCATAACCTGGCAGGGTGGCAGGAAAACTGGGTAAATTTTAACAATATTTTCATCTACTTTTTATTTTTTTATGGTAATGGACTTTCTAAAGAATGCTTACAAAAAGATGAGAATTTATACAAAGAAAAATATTTAAAACTAAAGCCCATGATAGTTCTGTCATGTTTCCATAATGGCTTCCCACCATTCAGAATGTGTCACTGTGAGCTTTGGCCTCTGCAAACTGTAGCACAGTGGCTAAGCGCTCCGGATTTCAAGTCTTTTAATGCATATTGGGGCCTGTATTCTACATTGCCAACACCCTAGCCAACTCATCTCAGTTCATTCCTCTGGCTAGCTGGTAGGAAACCTCATCTAGCACAGTGCAGCCAGAGCCTCTTCAGACTGAACTAGCACAGTCATTAGAAGGGTCATTTGTCTCCAAATGTACATTGAGATCTTCAGTGGAAGACCTCCCGTGGGTGTCACTGTTGAGGTAAGATGGGTGAGGTCTGTGAGAGGAGGGCCTTCCTGGTGGTGGCGATGGCCCTGTTGTGGAACACTCTCCCCAGTGAAGTTTACTTGTCACCTACCTTATTGTCTTTCAGCACCAGCCTAAGATCTTTTTAGTTTCCTGAGCATTTTACCTGCAATTTTAAACCTGCTGGGTCTTTCATGCTGCTTTTATGATTTTGTGGCTTTTAACTTTCATGTTCTTATATTTCTGTTTTTGTGTTGGCATTTTAATTGTTGTAGCATTCTTGCAAGCTGCTCTGGAAGTATAATTGAAGGGCAGTATAAAACACTTAAAATAAAGAAAACCATTACGCTCTCAAAAACCTCCTTTGATAAGATGGCGCTGCCTTTGCCACACAGATAGTGCCGTCCTATTTTCTTCAGCTATCTGAACAACTCAGCCTCAGTTAGTCACCAAAGCCCAAAGCCAGAAGGAGCATCTGGATCGCTGGAAGAACATCCCACTTTCCAGCCTCCCCTTTCTTGCTCATGCCTTGCCTGTGTCTACAGCTCGTTTTTCTTTGTAGGCTCTAATATGTGTTTAACATGTATCTTAATTATTTGATTACAATGGTGTAATTATATAATTGTAACGTATTGTGTGTGCTGGCTGGAAGGAGCCTGGAGACGCTCAGAGAGTGACGTTGGGTAAACAGGATAATAACAACATCGAGAGGAAGAATAAACGCAATAAGGGAGGCTAATTTGGAAGCATTTAAGGAAATGGGTGTTTTGGAAAAAGAAAAGTGGCTGTGAGGTTTTCTGTCGTCTCTTATGCCCTACAGCTCAAGTTGCCAAAATAAGAAAGATGGAAACTTTGATTGCATCAGTAACATTTCAAAACCAGGGCTTGAATGCTACTGCCAGATCCCTAAGGGGTTTCCTTAAAATCTACTCATTTCATGCTAGGAACCTTGCAGCTTTTATCATTGTTCCCAAATCTTGGACATGACAGTCATAAAGCACAGCATAAGGACATAGTTAAGGAAAAGGTATTTTGTATTTTTACCTATGAACAGGAAGGGAAACAAATGTCACTAAAGACTAACCTTCAAAGGGTTCGTGTGAATGAAAGTAAGTAAGCAAGCAGGATAGGCTGAAGTCCTAACCCTACTGAATTCAACAAGTCTTATTACTGGGTAGACATGATTAGGGATTGTGTTGCCCATGAAGAAGGTGCAGAGGGGTAGTTACCTACAGCTTTTGTCACAATTGGTAGTCATTGTGCATATTTTTCCCATTCCTATAGCCTTCAGTGCCAAATTTATGGAAGAAATAAAAATGAGTGTCTTTTTCTTTACTTCCCACTTGAAAAATTTATGACAATGTTTTAATTTCCTTCCTTCTTCCCGAGAGATTTGGTGACATAGATTTTATATTCCCATCTATTCACCGCCTTTCCATTTTCCTTCCTGGGAATGTCTCTGTGTGCTCTGGGAGGCCATGGGGATGGGGAGCTGGTTACAGCAGGAGTGGGGTCCTCCCTGGCTTCTTCAGTAGTCTGCTTCATCTCTGCCTCTTGGGCCGCCCTCCTCTCCAGCCTCTGCTTCTGCCTCTGCTCTCTGCCA